AGCGAAGCAAAAACCAGCGGCAAAAATACAGGAACACGTTTTTCTATTACATTGAAGACCACATGCAAAACTTCAGCTAATTTGGAGCAAGAAAAACGAAAAGCAACCAAAATCGTCACTTATCCCCTTTTATGACTAGCTTCTTCAGATGTACGCTGTAAACCAAGGCTTCAGTTAAACCCTATCCTCAAACCATTAGATCAACCTCTGCTTTTGATGACATAACAAACAGAAATGATTTTTCTTTTCTCTAAAAACCATACCATGAAAAGATGGCATTCTTGAGCTCCCCTGTTCGGGTTACCTCAAAAGTCCCCTCCCCCTCCCCCAGAGTCTGTATGGATGGATGCCCATTTGCTGGTATGGTGAAATCATAACCAAATTTTCATGGCTTAATGGGATACCAATTTCTGCTAGGTATGGAGCTCTGGTCACACATCTTTAGTGTGCAGGACTCCACTATAAATAAATAAATACTATAATATTTACTACTGGAGATAAAAATATTTTAATTGCAATTTTTGTTTTGGTCAAAATCATTGTTCCATCAATAATAATAATTATGTTCAATTCATAATATTCAACAGTCATTTTACAAGCTACTGTAACACAACCAGGTCCTGGTCTTAATGACACATCACAGAACTTACCAATTTTCCACTCAAAAGAGTAGTAATTGTTTGGATACAGCCATCGGTAAGGCCACTGCAACGGGGGAGCATCAGCTCACAAATATTGGTGCAGTTCTTGGCCAAGGTGATGACTGCATTGTTGGTCAGCTGATCAAGCCCTTCTAGTTTTACTGATATTAATTTTGGAGACCGTAGCACAGTCAAGCATTTGTCACTTAAGTGGGTGTGAGTGGAACCCGATTTGAGGTGTATAAGTTCCAAGTCAGTTTGATTCTTGAAGAGAAGAGACAATCCCTTATCTGAAAAGAAAAATTTTGTCAATAGACCATATTTGTATTCTTGGTATTGGACTGGAACTACCTTGTAATGGAGGCTCATATGAGGGTATATCATTAAAAAGAGATAAATGTCAATTGCATTTGAAACAACTCCCAGCATTAGCCTCACTTGCAAGCTAGTTCCAGTGCAATACCAGAAATACGAATATGGCCTCTTAAATACCTGTAGAGATAACAAGAAGATTTGAGGAAGTATAATTCTTCCTTTATATGTAATTCCTGGTGGCTTGTTACCTCTAAAATTCTATCTAATTTTGGAGTGCACTTGTAGCCAACCTTTTTGACAGCATGGAATGGTTTTAGAAATTCCATTTCTATGTTGTTTGTTGCCTCTTACCATTAAAATTGATTATTCCATGCACTGTATGTACATATACATTTGGTTCCACATGGAGGAAAGGTCCTACATTAATATTTTTCATCTAAGGGCTATTTAAATTCAGGCCGGCAACAAAACTGGATGAGAAATTTGAGCTACAATGCTCAGTGCTCAGTCAAAGGGAAAGGATCATTGCATAGCCAATACACAGGTCAGCATACCAGCAAACACCATCAGTTATATCAATAATCTCACACCTGTGCCAACTTGATGAATGATAGGAAATTTTCTTTCCCATACCATAAACAGAATTGAAATCTTTGTCATTTCATTTAAGACAAATGTAAATTGTATCATCTCTTCGTGCAAGGACATTCGTCATAAAATTACATTATATACAAGGTACTTGTATTTTTTTATTGCCCAAACACTTGCAATTAAACTTACACTATAATTACAAAACAGTCAGAACAGTCTATGGATTACGTATCTATGTATTACAATCTACACATTACATAAAACAAACTTACAATACGCTACTTACAGGAAAAAGGACACTAACTTATAGCTACTTACATTGATTATAATTACATTTTTTGAACAAAACAGACACTACAGAAAATAATACAAGTACACTAATAGCAAGACAACAGTTACCACTTAAGACAATAGAAAGCTTACACTTGTTGCAGCACGCTACCTTGGTTAAGTCAGCATATGAGCCAAGTGGCCCAGCAGGCTGGAGCTTATCCCTGTTTCTGTAGCATGAAGTGAATAGGAGTATTTCTACTCCCCCTGGATGGGATGCTAGTCCTTCATAGGGTTACCCCCAGCACTAAGTTCACCAGTACTCAACACACACCTGAGTGGAGAGAGGCACTGTGAAAGTAAAGTATCTTGCCCAAGAACACAAGGCAACGTCCCTGGCCAGGGCTCAAACCCAGACTGCTAAATCCATAGAGGAGCACACTAACCATGAGGCCACTGTACCTCCAACACTCTACCTAGAGTGCAGAATAATTATCATAATACAGTCGAACCTCCCTGTAAGGGACAACCCAAAATGTCAAGCCTAGGTGGTTGCTTATGGGAGGTGGTTGCTTACGAGAGCTTAGACCACATTGGGTCAAAATTTTGCCTCATTAGCATATGGTGACTGCAGAGATTTACCCCATATTTTAGCTCTAAAAGGGGCCGTGGCCACTTATGAGAGGTGATCCCTTGCAAGAGGTCCCAAATAAATTATAGTGATTTGACTTGGAAACTCCTGGCATTTTGGAAAACTGGTCGCTGAGGAGAGGTGGTCACAACTGGAGGTTTGACTGTATTACAATATTCACTTAATGATAGAATTGTTTTTCTCAAGTATAGATTTCGATATTAGTTAAAAATTACATTTGCTCATAGGGTTATGAGGGTTACGCAGTGCTGATTGCTAGTTATTAATTAAGTCCTAGCTATTTATCTGTAACTTCCACTATTTTCAATTTCCCATTGAATATTTAGTTTTTGTTTGAATTGATCACCTAGTGGGAATTTTTCCATCAGTTTACACTGTTGCACAATGTAGATATACTTCTTCATTAGTGTTATGGAAGTTCCAAATTTCCAACTCAATAGAGACTGTGATCCTGCAGGTAGCATAAAATCACTAAAAAGGATCTGCTGCTAGTCATATTAAACTGGGATTTTTGTTTGTTGTTGAACTATATCGTCATTTTGAAATAGTCATTGGCAACAGAGCAAGCCAGGAATGTGTGTTCAAGGAAATCTGGACATTTGCAAAAAACATTAATTTTTCTTATCTTTTAATTTCCTCCTTGGCTACTAGTATCCTATGAAGTAGTTTAAGAGAGAATTGTCTTAATTTACTGTCTGTCAACATCTTTGAGATATTTAAGGCACTTGTAAGTTATTAAAATATGGGAGATCTGTATCACAAAATACTTTGCCAAAGCCCTCAGGATGACCCAACATCATAGGGTTGTTTCAAGACCAAGCAAAGGTTTTGATTTTCTAGATAAACATCACCCAAAGCTGGCAGTAACATTTTTATTTTTCTTGAAATAATATGGCCGAAATTTAAAGCAAAAGATTTTGAAATCACAAAAATAAAGGTAAAAAAGCCTTTAAACTGCCAAAACATACTCAAGAATGGGGACAAACATTTTTCTCTCTGATAGCTTTCATTATCTGATTCCATTCTAATCTAATCTACGTTTACATACTCTTCATAGTATAAGTGAACCAAACTCGACAGTTTCTAGCAAGAGGATGTGAGTGGTCTGTCTCTTCGGATTTGTATTGTGAAACACCACTTACACAATTGGCTAATCAAATTCTTAAAAATTAGGATTCCAGACTGCTCCTGAAGCTGCTTGAGAAAACAATGAAATTGTTTACAGCCTCCAAAAATCATTTCATTGCCCTGCCTAAATTGTATCTACAAAAGATTATTTACCACTAACAAGCTGCTATTATATTTTCTCAATCTTGTCCAGTATTATTATTTACTATGCTTAAAATAATGTTACTTTTTTAGCAACACTGCTGTAGCTGGATTATAAGTATTTTTCAATAAACTGTGCTAATCCATGGCAGCATTAAATCAACCACATCATAGGAAAGCTCCAATATAATGCATGCCTTGGGCCTTACAAGTGGCCCCATTAAGAATTGCAAGTACAGAAGTTGTAGTTCAATTTTACCCTTGGTTCAAATTAGTATTTTGTTTGTTCACAAATGTTCTGCAATTATTGGTAAACACGAAAGAAGACCACAAGCTGCCTGCAACTACAAAAGAGACCCTATAATTTACATTAAGCTAATCAGTAAACACTGCAGACACCCAACCAACATTGCACTGGCCATCCACTAATTTGCACACAGTGATCAAGCAAATATACACCTGCTGGGCAAAAGGCCAGGACTGTTCACTTCCCTCATAAACTCCTGAACATCAGTAAATCCGATTATGGACAAAAATGGTGTCTTCCCAGCTTGGAGAATGACTAGAGACTGACCAGAAACCTTTCAGGTTATTCTCCAGACTCAAATTGTACATATTTTACTGTTCTTCTTTTCATATATATTTTTATAAAACTGTAAATGTACAAGTGAATAAAGATCTTGTTGTTGTTGTTGTCACAGGTGTCCTTTGAAAAAAGGTTCTTCACTAGCCAGATACTGAGGCTTCTCCTATAGAATTTATTGGGTATCAAATGTTGCAGCCACACAGTCTTATTTACCAAGTAATGATCAACAAACTGAGTCTGACTCTTAAGATACTCTGAAGGTGGAGTAGCTAAACATATGTGAGAGGTGCTGGGTAAATGGATGCCACAGGAAAAATATATCAAAATTTGACATACTTTTGTTCAAGATTATCCCTTGTTGGAAAGTTTTCAATTGGTGAAATCCGTCACATGTGCATACGTACACCCCGGCCAGTGTAAACTGCAGACTGCGGACTGCAAACTGCAGACTGCAGACTGAGGTTAAAATGCAGACTGCAGACTACAGACTTTAAAGTATATATCACGTTATTTCCACTATCGAGTGTTAACTGAACACAGGGTTGTTCAGGCTAATCGCAGTGAAATTCTGCATCCTGTTTAGCCTGAATATCGCCCATACAAAAATTAACACTGTGAAACGAGGCGAAATCAGGCCATAACGTTTAAACCAAAATTGGGCCTTAAAATAACAACCCAAAATGAACCAAAACTAACCTCACTTAAACCTAAATTCCTGAGCCTCATTCTCAGCATAAATAGAGGCAAAAAGGGAACATGAATCTGTTGAAGCTAAACAGGGACTAAAACTGGACCAAAATTATGCAGTAAATATGGCTGACCGACTGACTGACCAGTAACATGAGAACCAAGTGTGAGGAATTGGATATTGCACTCGCATGCCATGCATATTTGTAATTCAAAATTAATCACATCCAACAATCTAAAAATAAAGTGCTTCACCACACTGTAAAAGCATATTTTATTTCAGGCTAATTTGAAATCAAACATCACAAATCACAAATCCACTCCTTTTTATGTAAATAATGTAAATACATGCATATTGATATAAGATACACCAGGAAAGTCCATGGCATCTGTATCACGTTACAAGTCGTTACAATGCGGCAAATAACTTTGTCTATTCAGTTAATTCAAAAAAGTTTGAACAAATTGATTTGAAAGATTAACTAAAAACGAGGTACCTTTTACTCCTCTGATTTTGTTAATTTTTCTTCGATATTTCAATGGTTCCCTGCTACGAATCAATATATGACGCACCATGTTCCGACAGGGTCAATGATCAGACCTTTTGCCAGTAATTTCTACGTACCAGAATTTACAAAGTTTTACTTATAAAATATCACTAAAGCTTATAATGTTCCCTTTGTGGATAATCCCTTACTGTTCTTGTAAAGGCGTACTAAACGACTGATGTCTTGGAAACTTCAGTTAATATTTTGCCCCAATGTAGTCATGTTGATCAGTTACCGCTGACACTACAGCAACTGGCTTTGGCATTGAGCTTTGTTTGGGCGCAGGTCACTTGCTGCCTGAAGGCTTCATTAATATCTTTTTTGCTTGGTGGATCTTTGTTATTCTGAATGCAGAAGACTGTGAAATAATCTGCAAAGTAGAAATTTCAAAAGGTTAGCCGACTCATTTACTCAGAAAAGAAACCCCACGCAAACAAACTTATTCATTTTAATTGAATTAATTCTGAAAGCGTAATACAGTTTCACTATAAATCTAGAGTTCTTTTTTTTCTTTTCGACTTCACCACAAAAACAGTGGATTAGTAGTACTTATTGAATACCGGTACTACTAGAAAAAGCACCTTAAAATCAGATTATTCATTGCCGGATTGCTCAATTGACAGTTTTAGTGAAAAACCTGATGTTGCGTGTACTGTTAACAAATAGTTTGTTTTGAAATTTTTCCTGGGAAATTTATGCGAGTTACCCTTATAAAAAGGTATCCTTTCCAGTAATTGAAAATTCAAAGGACTCGCACAAAATTTAAGGGCCTGTTTAGAAGGAGGGAGGGCTACCCTAGCAAGTGGGTTAACCCTAGCTGGAGGACAAAAGATAGCCCGGGTTTACAAGCAAAATTTCACAGGTAGAGTAACCCTACAACCCGGGACAACTTAATGTGCGGTTACACTCAAAGGGTCTGGAAACAACAGAAAGGTTTCCTGGGTAGACGGGTTAACTCTACTCATCTCATTTGCATAATAATGGCGGTAAGACGTGTGCTTTGCTACTCTTCGATATTTTATCTTCTAAGGTGTCTTCTCAGCCTTCATTTGAGCGGGAAATCCTTTAACTCTGCTTCTAAAGGTATTGGCTATGACCTTACAACATTGATTGTGACCAGGGATGTATCGACGCCAAGGATTGAATCCATCTTTTTGCACCCTAAGAAGTCAGCAAAAGCAAGTGTCATGGCGTCGCACTCAAAGTTAGTAGAGACCTTAAGCAAACACTGGAGGCGGCGAGGTGGACGCCAACCGGAAGTAAAATTTCCCGCTCTCGAGCTAATTAACATAATCACGTGGAGTGTTGCCTGCGTCTTCCAACAGTGGCGGCGGCGAGAAAGGTAGGTTTGGCTGCCTCGAGAGACGGTCGCNACTTACTTACTTACTTACTTACTTACTTACCTGGGGTGTTTACAAGGGAAAATGTTAACCCACCTGCCAGGATAACCCTAGCATGCAGATAGGGTAACGCGCCTACCTGGGTAACCTTAGCTGCCTTGTAAACACGACGAAGAAAAAAAGAGGAAATGTTTGAGTGCTAGGGTAACTGTACCTCCTTGTTAACAGGCCCCAATACACGTTCATGATAATAGCTATCAGTAACGGCTGTAAAAATGATAGAGATTTTTGCAAAATTTCCTTACCCTTACAGGCATTAACTTTCTGTTGAACCAAGGGTCACTTGCCTTCATTGCCTACTTTGCCTCCTTTGCCAATTCCTTGCCAGCAGTACTTCTGTTGGGAACACTAGGGGGATCAACTTTCTGAGAAGGTGCAGTCCATCCTTTGCATGCCCACTCTGTGCGATGCTTTGCTCGTCTCCAAAAGCTTTACAGTATCTTGTGGGGCCTATAAAAAACAGATTACATGTCATTAACTATCACAATGTACATTTCTCTTGACAACCGTTATACTCTTGCACATAATGGTGTGTCATGAATGGTGGAACTGATTACTCTCTAGCTCAGCAACAATATGACAGTTCAAAAGCACTGACACTGTTAGTCTTCCACGAACAAATAATAAGAACCCATAATAAATATAGTATCACCATTGCTTCCTAGATAAAGAAGAGTGCCATCATCTCAGCAACACATCACATGGATCAACCACACTTCTAATGGCATGTGGTTAAAAGGGGAAGGTCGAGAGAAAAACCAGCTCAAACCCCCAAAAAGTGAGACCATGAATTATGAGGGGATCATGACAGGAATGCCTTCCAATCATCATATTTTCCGGTCTCAACTCCCTTCTTGTTTGTGCTATGTAGGGTTTAGCCAATACCTTATCCTCAAAAGCTTATTCACTGTTGCTACACTAATCAAGGTGGTTTAGACTGTGCCACTCGATCTGTTGCTTCACATGGGCAACATTGTTACATTTGCAAAAGAAAGAGGCTGCTTACAATGAATCTCAAGAATGAATTACAATGAATTACAATGAAGGGCTTTTAAGCAGTTCAGTGATCACTGACACTATAAAACTATGCTGGTGCTATGTCTTCAACCAGTTACCTGTTGTTACTCTTACCTGGCTAGGTCGTGGTTCCAGGTTTGCTGGAATGGTGTACTCTTAAATTGCAACATCAGGAAGTTCAAGGAAGAGTTGCATTCCATCAGTTGTACTGGCTGCTAAAACATCCCTCATGTAATGCAATACTTCAGCTGATGGAACTGAAAAAGTTTGTAAACTTTGGTAAGATGAAGTATCAGAAATACAGTGTTAAAATGTAGTAAAAGTGCAAGCCTAGGAATTGTTTTTGAACACTTTTTTAGCCAATGGTTTTAAAAAAAATCCTTCTCATTTATAATTGATGCCTGTAAAAGTACTTTCCTTTCGATTTGCTGGTACAGGGCCCCTATGGAGACCAGCCTTACAGCTGAATGGGCTAACTTATGGAACGCCAGAACTGTAATATAATACTTTTTTTATTATATTGGGTGGTTATGTCATTATATTTAGTACTTATGTTATTATATTTGGTGATTAACTCACTATACTCGGTGCTTATTCCATTATACTCGGTGCTCATGTCTTTATATGCGGTGCTGTCTTCATTATATTCACTGCTTATTCCATTATATTGGGTGCTTCCCTCGTTATATTCAGTGCTTTCTTCGTTATATTAGGTGCTTTTTTCATTATATTCGGTGCTGTTTTTAT